CAGAAGAAAAAAAAAATACGCATTCCAAAGGGAGAAAGGTAAATATATGGAAATATTTTGCTTGGAATTCACGACTTTTTATTCGGGACCCACGATTTTTTACCCACGACCCACGCCTTTTTACCCACGACCCACGCCTTTTTACCCACGACCCACGCCTTTTTACCCACGACCCACGCCTTTTTACCCACGACCCACGCCTTTTTACCCACGACCCACGCCTTTTTACCCACGACCCACGCCTTTTTACCCACGACCCACGCCTTTTTACCCACGACTTACGACTTTTTACCCACGACCCACGACTTTTTACCCACGACCCACGACATTCTACCCACGACCCACGACATTCTACCCACGACCCACGACATTCTACCCACGACCCACGACATTCTACCCACGACCCACGACCCACGACTGTTAGCTAGTCCCCAAAATACAAGCCAAAATGCACCGGTACTTATACTACAAAAAGGTCTATATTAACCGAATTAACGAAACCGTTTCAGAGTTTATTTAAATTTACTGCCATTTTTTTCGCCCCATAAGTGCATGTATAGTTTATTTTTTAATTTAAATAGTCTATTGATATATCTTAAGTCTGCACACACGGCGAAGACGAGTTTAAATCGTGACCGGGTTTTGTAAAGACTGCCGTTTGGATTTATACAGTCATATTAAACAAAGTTCAAAGTCGTGGATATATTCACGTACAGTTGATCGATTCAAGAACAATTGTTTTAAAATTATTGAAAAGCTTTATACCGTCTAGATACAAGAGCGTTTGTTGCTTTTGAATCGGGTGATTCGCATTTCTTTTAGTTGACAAAACGTTCCATATTATTTGACTAACTTGAGTTTGAATTTCGCAATATTTTTTAAAATTTGTTATTGTCATTCAAATTATTAACCGTTAACTCGATTAAAAAGTCATGGAAGATGATAGGTCAATTTTCCTTCAACTTCCATTCTACTTCCGGTTACAATGTCGAATTTACTTTCGTTACCAGTTGTTGCGGTGCACATTGAACGAAAGATTTTCGGCGTTTCATCCCTTTCTTATTTATGTACGGGTTACACCCTCGGCATCATTTCGTAAGATGTTCGGAAATTGTCGTTGCAATACAATATGTTTGAATTACATGAAGTAGAAGGCATGATATTATCGAAAAAATAAAAATCAGCTAATTTTGATCATTTTATGACTATGTCTGGCTGCGGATTGTTGTTATATAAATATGGGATATTGGTTGATGACAAGGTATTTATAAAACACAATCGTACTTTTCTGCCCCCTGTGACAGGGATGTACCGGATCCGGACACCTGTCACATGACTCACATATCCGATGACAACTTTGAAACTTGATACTTCTGGGGCTTCAATGGTGATTCCAGCTATAGACGAAATTTTGATCAAGACAAAAAGAACGAACCACAACACCACGGCTAGAAGAGCGTCTTAGAACTTTTGTAAAATGCGGAAAATATAGCCCTGGAGAATAACCATTTTTGAGTCGAAAGTGGTTATTTTTATCGCGCGTAACACAAATATAATTATACAAAATTTGTGAACTTCACAAGGCTATATTTTCTTCATTTTACAATATTTACCAACCAGTCTTTGCAATATTACTCATTCCAATACGCTCTTTCTAGTTATGGTATTGGATTTCGTCTTTTTTGCCTTCATCAAAATTTATTCTATAGCTGGAATTATCCATTTTAAAATACTCCTTAAATAGCTGCTGTGACACATGCACTGACTTTGGTCACCAAATCTTTCAATATCGCCGTTTGAAGAACAATTGAGGTTCATTGTATCGTATAGTGTGCTAGGAACAAATTCATGAAAATAGAAACGCGTTAAAATACAAATTTTATTAAGAACAATAACTCCAGTCGACGTTTATTTCGACTAAATTGTAGTCACAGAAAAATGGAATCCAGATGATGACTGCAATTTAGTCAAAACGTCGACTCAATAAATCAAAATCAGTTACTGTTTTTTTTTTGCATTTTATTTCACTACAGTGGCGGAAATTCACTTTTTTCGGGGGGGGGGGAAAAAGCCTCCTAAATTTCCGACAAAACTCTCAAATTTCCGACATACCCCCCCCCCCATTTTTAGCCCTCTTTTAAGTCAAAATTTCCGAAAATTCGTCAATTTTCCGTGAAGGTGGGGGGGGGGGGCGGCCGCCCACCTGCCCCACCAAGATTTCCGCCACTGTTTCACTGTTATATACCGAGTCATACTGAGTGGTTCCTGTAATTATAGAAACGTTTTATGTTGATCAAAATGTTCTAATTTATGCGTGTACATGTTTATGCTCAAATTAGAACATTTTGGTTAACACAAAGCCGGTTTAATATAAAAGACGAGCAAGTTTTCCATATATGACAAGTTTTTTATGTGGCAAGTTTTATTTGCTTGTCCGTATACGCAACTTTGATCATTTTTACTGTGACAAGTACCCTGGTAGTCAAAAGCTAGCATGCTAGCGGCCTAACAACAGTAAAACTAAAACTTGTCTTACATAGTAATAGAAACTTGTCATAGAAAATTTGCTCGTCTGTATTAAAACCGGATTAACACTTAGTCTATTTTCATCAATTTGTTGCTTGCACTAGTCAACAGGGTACATTAAAACTCGGTTCCTCTCCGGCAACGCCGACGATGAAAGACTTGGCGACCAAAATCAGTGTGTCTCAGCAGGTTCAAATCTGAGAGATGTTCAAGGTCACCAAACTACTGTGTTATAATCAGTTGATCACTGCAATGAATACATATTTAATTTAGAATGGTTTCCGGGTTTTATTTGGAACATCCTGTAGGCTGTATAGCCTATATAGGGCCGTTTATTCGAGCGAAAATATTTACTCGAGCGAGCCAGAGCCCAAAATGGATCAAACCTGCAAAAGCTAGCCGACTGAGTCGAGGTCCTAAAGTCGACGTCGTTTGTTCCTTTACACCTATATCGACTTATTTCAGTGCTTCAAAATACTCTCGCCATGCCTGCTTCCCATCCCGACAAAATAACATTCATGTAACTAAACTTATAAAATAATAAAGTAGACATACTTTTAAACAAGAAGTGGAACGCATACCTTACACAGATCATACCAAGAAAGCCGAGATGCAAGCATTTTGCAGCCATATTATTGATGAATTTATATATCTTAATTTGTTCGAATTATTCGTACAGCGAAGATCGATGTAGGAATGCAGGTTAGCTTGCCGTCCACCTTTTCCTTTGGCAAAGTTAGCGTATGGTAATCTGTTGTTTGTTAATTTTCGTATAAGAATAATGTGAGTATATAAATTCGACCTCGTGTTATCTTGTTTAATAGTCAAGACGTTAAGTCGTTTAGCACTGCTTGTTGTTAACACAGCTCGTTTGTATTCAAATCTAAAGGAAAAGCATAGCCAATAACTTAGATTATTAAAGAGTTACGTTTGCAAACACACTAGACATTGCACAACTCGTGTAGAATCGAAGTGTTCAGTGATTGCAAATTGTACTAGCTAACTCAAAGACAAAGTATGTTTTGCATCTAATTTAGACACGATTTAAATGTTTTTCTATGGTTTAATATGTATTCTGAATTCCCAAAGGACTTGTTTGAAAAACAAGATGCAAAAGAGTTAATTCCCAGGTGGGAATCGATGAGTTAATAAAAGACGTGCAAAAAAACACTTTTTGATAATTGCAAGACACCTGCATGGTCTTGTTGAAATCTTGAAGTCAATTGAAGTCTATATTCTAAAGGCCTATATTTTTCATTCCTGCGTGTCGGAAAGAAACGAGGTGCAATATCACACATGTTTTCCCTCGCAGTGGTGTTCATTATGTTTGGTTTTTCGAAAACAGTACCGGTTTTTCGTAATTCCTGCAATGCCAACAACTATCTTGCAAATATACTAATATAAAACAGTACTTCAAAATAACGTTCGAATTTAACCATTCTCTGTGTATTTTTTTAATTAAATAATTATCCAATAATAAAAACTAAGCAAACATTAATCGCTAGAAAGGAAATAAATCTTACCTTTTGCTTTAGCTTTATTTTCAAAACAGTTGTAACTTGTAAACAATTTTAACGTAACCGCTGGCCTCAAAATTATATCTGGATGGAGGTCTATAATAGGTTACACAATCCACACTGGCATCATATTGCTGATTATGCTGAAGAAATATAAATGGTGGCCGTGTAAACACGCATTGATAGCTTAAACTTGTAAATATTGATATATTTCGGTTGTTTCGGCAGTTTTTATTAAAAATTTTCAGGATAATCAGCAATATGGTAACGTACTTCCCATCCCCCCCCCCGGCCCCCACACTGCGTGCATAAATTGAAAGCTGGAATTGCCTATTAAATGAAGAATTTTATTTACAATTTTTCATTGAAGATAAAGTATTTAGAGTTAGGTTGTTTTCTATAATATTATTGGTTTCTGAATCCAGTAACACAACGTGGCCAAATTGCTTTCGGCCTGAACCAGGGCACTAGGGGGAATGGCATAAATTAGGGAAAGATATTACTGAGGGAGTGAATTACAATCATTCGAAGGAATATACAACTATTTCAAAAAAGGTTGTCGTCCTTCAAAAATCTTAAACCTTAAACTCTAAACGCGCAAGATGTGCTGGGTAACTTCTTACTTAAGGCCTAAAACGCGCGAATTTTGCATTATAACTATGGCAAGACAGATAATAATTATAAGCACTTAAGATCAATAGGATGTACAACTAGCAGTGTACTGAGGATTATTGTCCCAATCAAAAGCCCTAAAAAGAAATTACCTATCACTCTTTGCGCGCTTAGAGTTGAAGGTTTGAGATTTTCGAAGGAGAACCTTTTTGAATTAGCTGTATAATTGGGGTGTGATCGTCCTACCGAGGACGTTTTCGTATTTTTAAAACTCTGGGGGCGTAAATAATACATTTTAAAACACACCACTAAACAATATCACACTTCCTTAGGCTTTTTTACATATTTTCAGCGGTATCAATCTGGCTTTTGCAAAGTTAGTCAAGTCGCTTGGTGCTCAGATTAATATGTGGCCTTATTTTGAGACGAACCAGCTGAGACAAATCTTTGTAAAGGCCCATTTACACGGGCGTTTTTTGCTGCGATTTTATTCTTTTGGAATTTCCGAAGGGATAGATTCAGGGTCGTATCCAGACGCGATAGTTGGGGGGAGGGGTATATTCGTATATTCATGTTCACATATATGAATATACACCCCCCTCTCCCCAATTGTCTGTCTAGCTACGGCCCTGGGTAAATTACGTAATGATATTGTTATGAGATTTCATAACCTGGAACATTTATAAATCGTCTACTCCTTCATATCCTCCAAAAGGAGAAAATGACAACTAAAATCCCAGCAAAATCGCCGTGTGAACGGCGTTAAGCTTCAGTTTATAATTATAAAAAATAGTTGTTTTGCAGTTGCTACTGAAAGTTCTGTGTCGCGAGTGGTTTCATAATATACACTTAATTGAGAGAGAAATAAACAACTTAACAAATGCAATTTTTAAGCATTGAATAAATTACGTCCGCAACAGTTAACACCAACCAATCAAATGACATATTAAAAAATCTTTTGTCTCATATAGACCAATCAGATTTACAACCGAAATACGGTTGTACGGCATGGATTTTTGTTACTGCTTGCATCATGCCATATTTTATTAAATTATAGACCTGATTGCAGGTTACTATGCGCGCAAATTCAAGTTTAAATACGCCTTCAGCAACCATAGGCATTTTTACTGTATAGTTAGGATTCCAGACAGGGAATGCTACAACTTTATTGGTAAGCAGAATAGATAGGTATCATTATTCACACATCGTACTCAGCACCAATTTCAGCCAGGATTTCAGCTTTTCGTATGGGCAGATCCTTTTGGCCTTGGGGGGAGGGGGGGGGGGCAGAGTCCATCCAGCTCTTGAGGAAGCCTACTTCCAGGTGATCTCGTGTTCGCATTTTAGCCAATCAGCGTTCAGAAAGGGTTGTCCGAATAGAAATCCATTTTGATGTATTCAGTCAATTATATCTTTCGTTATTCTTCATGAAACTAGTTGAAATTTTGTAATTATGTTTGGTTATGAGAACTATAGCTCTGACAAAAATATGGAATTGAAATAAAGTATATTACAGGAGATATTCACTTGTTTTAATCATAAAATGGATTTCTATTTGACAACTAGTGCCAGTACTTTTCCGCGTATCAAGATCACCTGGTTATCATAGATCTATTGTTATGCAATTGTTTTATTGCACGGGGCAGAAAACCAACAGTTTGTCATGGGAAATTTGCTGTACGTATAAACCTGTGTAATCAGCAAATAGAACTTGCAATATATAAAAAGCTCGTCTGTCGCCGGAAATACAGCATGTTCATCCAGTGGCGAGGCTAGCCAAAGAAACAGGTTATGCTATATGCAGCATAGATTATTAAAACAAATCATCAAGTTTAGATTAGTGTCAGGTTAAGATTAGATTAGGGTTAGATGAAGATTATAATTTTATTAGGGTTAAAGTTGGGGTTAGATTAGAGTTCGATTCATGTATCCCAATAAGTTTTTGCGCAAATTTATTGTATTGATAGTAAATTCAAAGGTCGAGATTCAATGGTTGTATTTTTAAGATTTCGTATACGAATCCAAAGGTCGTACTTTTGTAAAAAGTTAACTTTGAAATTTTGCAATTTTATTCAACGTATAGTACAATAACTTTATTAGGGACAAAATTTTAAATTCTCAAATTTTCAGCTACAATAGTCAATACCAAAATCAGAGCCGGGGTTGGCACGTCTTGTTCACCAAATGAAATGCAAGCTATATGAAAATGCGAGTTGACAACATAATTGTAACAAAAATTGCCATCAGAGTGTAACTTTATGATAGTCTGAATATAGCCTGTCGTTCAACAACTGCCAAGAGCCGTTTAGTTCAACCATGCTGAACATTTGACATGATACCCACTGCTTTATTATGGTAACTAGACAATGTTGTTTATGGCAATTTTCATGTCCATGGCAACACATCAAAAACCATCAAAGACATTCTTTTGAGTACAAAAAAAACATTGAAAAATTATAACATTAGACTGATAAGTTGGTTTTCGTTCGTTTGAAGAATTTAAAACAAACTGTTGGAAAAGTCAGTTCTCGTCATGTTTGTCATGTTTGAATGAGAACCTTCTATAAATACTGCTAAAACTTTTATATAATTAGAATAAATTAGTATAGCTACATGAAGAATAATTTTACGCTTGTTTTAGGATCGACATTTACTGTATTAACAGAACGATTTTCAACTGATCGATCGACATATACTCCTATTAATTATCCCCATGTATCACAAAATGTTATTTGCCCAAAAACCTACAGTATTTTATTCCATTGCAGTTAATTGCCGGGTCCGTGGCCATAGCCGTGGTCATGATGGAATATGATCATTGTCCATTGAACTATGATTATAATATAAATGGTCAATTCACACGCATCCCACGCAATTTTACATACACAAGCTAGGAGTTATTTATATCAATTGAAAATCAATTTCATGCTAGATATTACTTTTGTCAACGAAAGAATAGACAAGATGATTGCAAAAGCATTTTTTCAGTGCCCGTATTTTTTATTTCAGGCTTATAAACCATACATATATATGAATTATAAACACCAGTTATTTATTTCAATTCATAATATTATTTCAGCATTTCAGTTTGCTCATGCAGCACGGGGTCATGTATCGTGCTGTGAAACAGCTATGTTTTGCAAATTAGCTGAGAATTCTTACAGCACTCGGAGGCAAAGTTTTCAAAATAATACCGTTTTCAGACGCCTTTACACATTGGTTGATGTAGGTATTTTTAGCGCAAGGACAAGGTAAGTAGAATATTTTTTTTAAAGTATATTGTACGTTACTTATTAACTTAGTCTTTACTGTACAAAGTTGGATCGTAAATTGATAGGTAAATTATATATTAATCAACATTTTGCTTTACTTGCCAAGTTTAATTTATTAAGAGTTGTTTGAATAAGATTGCCGCGAACACAAATACGCACAACAATGCAATCATGCGAGATATCGCTTATATAAGCAGTTTTTACGTTAAAATTTCACAACGCCGAGCATGTATATAATAATTGTAGCAAAGATGACTTTATAAATTAACCAAAACGTTCCTTGTGTGAATATAGCGTAACCTGGCGGAGGAATTAATGCTATTTGATGGCCTTGCTAAATCAATATAAGCAAACAGCGTCATCATCAAATTCGATACAAAGATTTTTGGTTAGCATGTCCTCTTTTTACTTTTCTCTTTCACATACGTATTGCCATATATTGATTGAAGCAAATTTTAATTTTAAAAACCTTTGCTTCGTTACATGCGGAGTCCCCATGTTAAGCAACTAGGGGCCTACTGTACAGTATAACTATATAAATTGCATGGCACTAATTGACCGATATAAGATTAAAAAAAAACAATCTTTGTATCGTAAAAAATATATGTTAATTAATGTCATAAACTGATAATTTGATACGGTGTGACCATTGCAGGAAACAAGTGATCCATGCAGTACACTACTTCGATTCAGAAGCAGCGAGGTCCGTCTTTATATCAAATATGGGCCTAAGACGCCCGTTTGCATGCACTATACAATTGTAGTTATGTCTATTTCTTTTAAAGAGACGGATAATTGACGAACTTGATTTCGATTAAAATTTGAACTTTTTCGCCGCCTTGAAATAGATCAAGGCCTGTATTCTAAAAGCTCACTCACACTCAAAAAGTCGGGAGGTTCAATCTGAGCTTCTCTTGACTAGAGTATGAATGCTGTTTTAGAATAACTGAAGCCTTGAAGGGTTATTGTCATAATTGACGCTTTGACTACTCACCCTCCAGCTATTCAGAAACAGCACTGACATGCACTCAAGAGAAGCTCAGATTGAACCTCCACTCTTTGAATATAATGACTAATGTGAGTATGAGTGAGCTTTCGGAATATACAGGCGTAAAAAGACTATTACAAACTATATGAACAAAGCACACTTTAATCAAAGAAAACTCTCACCTATGTATATCGTTTTACTCGACAAGTTCTCGAGCGACGTCGTGCTCACTCGGTCATTTCCGTCGGTCATGCAGTTTCCTATCACGTTTCCTATGATAACTGACATTTTGTATAATGTATATATTAATATACAATATATATATATTAGGCTATAGTGTGTATAATAGTATGGTTTTCAGTACAATTTGAGAAAGAAAACATGCAGGAGCGAATGTTTCAAGGACGATAAGATTGCACACGAGTTTAAAGGACCATTTATCTGCAATGCGCTCAAATACACCCTGCTTTTTATATTTCTCCGTCTAATGCAGTATAGATTTTACTCGTCAGGGAGGATGGTCTTGCGCTTAAAGGGTTAACCAAACAGTCTGCCAATACCCCCATTAACCTGCAATGCGCCTAAATCCGCCCTGCTTTATTATTTTTATATACTCTGTCTAACGCCAGACGATTTTATATACTCATCATATGGGGGTGAAGGGGATTCTTGCCTTTAATGCATGGTTAATATAAATTATAGTGTAAATTGACATGTTAAGCAAACATTAGGGGAAATCTGAGGTAGTGTCAACACAACAAAACACAACATCGCCGACGTTTCGAAAAAAGACAGTCTTTAGCAGTTTAGCTTCCATATACGCACGGACCTTCGCTCGAAAGCTTTTTTATATATTTTCGGGAAGTTGTATTGCAGTTTGTGTTCTTAATTCCCTAGCTACTCTGACACACACCGTTCGAGAGTCATAATATATATGAGTACATGAAATTCAATCTAAACTGACTAATTTTGTTTTCCAGAATAACGCGTGAAAACGTAACAGGAAGTTTAAGTTTGTAAATTAGTTCAATATTTAATATGTCGGGAGTGCATATAGTCTTGAATTATAGAATGTGATTTTGTTGGTACAGGCATATAGGTAAAATAACTTCATCTATAACAGTAACAACACCATCTTTTGTTGTAATGTTATATTCTTAGTGTGCATCCACACCGGGAAAGCTGAACAGTTTGCCTGACCACGTTGGAAATCGAACAGGCGACCCTTGATATAGGCTAGTCCAATGCTCTGCCAGCTGAGTCTAGTCATGTCTTTGGATAACAAACATCATATTCACCTGAGAAAATAACACCAACGCACACAAAAAGTATCATATCTTCGAATACATTGATATCGAAGAAAGGTTCCGAAATATATATATCGCCAACTCGAATCGACTTGAACACGTAGCTCAGGTGGTAGAGCATTGGACTGGTATCCTAAAGGTTGCGGATTCGATTCCCACCGTGGTCAGGCAAATTTTTCAGCTTGCCCGGTGTGGACGCACTCGGAGGAGGGTCCTGAAAGGGGGGTCGTATTCCCATTTCCCAGCCCAAATTTTGACTAAATCCCATTGTCCCAGAGCACAAATCCCATCATCTCAGTGGCTGTCCTGCTCAAATCTTAATCCCATTCCCATTTTCTATTGTTTTTTTTTGCTGATGAATCCCAGTCCCTGCAGTGCATGAAATCCCATTTTCCCACCCAAAAATAGGCAAAACCCAGTTCCCATTTTACCCCTTCAGGACCCTCTCAGAGCAACATCACAAACATCATATTCACCTGAGTACATAACACCACACACAAAAAGTAACACCATCTTTTTTCTATTTTACACAGATGTCGCTTGGTACGCTACTTACTTTATTTATCATCACAAATTGGCAGTTTTTCCAAGTTGAAGGTACAAAGTGCATATAACCAATTAATAAATAAAGTACTAATAAAAACGATCGGGTGTTGACAATCGTGTTCAATTAGATGAACTATGATTGCTCAAAAAGAACCAAATTAATGTATATACTGTTGTACATTTAACAATTAGACAACGAAGCCGAGTTGTCTATATGAGCGAGTAGTCAACGAGGCGAAGCCGAGTTGACTGATTCGCTCAGAGACAACGAGGCTGAGTTGTCTAATTGTTTTAGTATAAACTACGGTACATAAAGAAAACTGAATTCTTCAATTGCTTTTTATGTAAATTAACAACTTTTTATAGAAATGAGCGTTTAAATGCCTTACTTTCGCAATATTTCGCCTCGGCCTTGTTGACAACTAATCAGTGTTGCGAACTCCCAAGAATGACTTGGAAGATTGGGCGTTGTGAAAATCCGGAATATCACGGAATATGGCGGAATCTCACGGAATATGGCGGAATATCGCGGAATATTGCGGAATATCACGGAATATCGCAGAATATGGCGGAATATCACGGAATATGGCGGAATATCACGGAATATCATGACATTTTCCCGGAATATACCTGAACATCACGATATTTTCCGATGGTAGCCATGCGACTGTTTATAAAGGCATGGACGTCTGACAACATATTTTATTACAAAAGCGATGGATCTTTCCCATTTTGACGGTAAGTAACAAACAATAACTCTATACTGCAAGTTTTATATGTTGTTTATATCATTATTACGAGTGTTCACCAAAAATTTTGAAGCAATATGATTAATTGCTCTTGAGTTACAGCATCTTGAAAAATATAAGTGCTGACGACAGCACTTTTGTTTTTCAAGACCTGCCAATGAGATGCATGTATTCCTCTGGCAAATAGGCACCGTCATCCCTATTCACAGCATAACTACTCACATTTATATGCCATGCTTCTAGGCATAATCTTTGACCATGATAGCGATTGTTTGTGGTAATTACTTTACTAGAGTTTTCTCACACAATCTCGTCTGTACTCAGGAGGAATGAATCATATTGATTCAAAATTTTTGGTGAACACTCGTAATAATGATATAAACAACATATAAAACTTCCAGTATAGAGATTAGAGTTATTGTTTGTTACTTACCGTCAAATTGGGAAAGATCCATCACTTTTGTAATAAAATATGTTGTCAGACGTCCATGTTAATTTATAAACAGTCGCATGGCTACCATCGGAAAATATTGTGATTTCCGGTATATTCCGGGAAAATGTCGTGATATTCCGCCATATTCCATGATATTCCGCCATATTCCGTGATATTCCGCCATATTCCGTGATATTCCGCCATATTCCATGATATTCCGCCATTCCGGGTTTTCACAACGCCCCGTGGAACATACGACTTGTGAATTGTAAAAAGTTTAAAAATATGTCGTAAAACAGTTTATTGTATAAACATAAGTGTTATATAGAGTTTTTGGCCACTGAGAAAAATGGTATTTAAACACACGTAAAAAATACGATATTTTACGTGCATGTGAAAATATCATTTGTTGTAAAACGCATTGCCACGGACGTTTTATTGTTTTTCACTGAATTTTGTTTATATAATAAACAGAAAAATTCATGGGTGCTTGGAAATACCAGATTTATTTCTCGTGTTGAACATGATATCTCACTCGTTCGCTGCGCCCACTCGTGAGATATCATGTTCGACACTCGAAATAAATCTGGTATTTCAGCGCACCCACGTATTATTCTCTACATAATAGTAAAGGGGTCGTTCTACCAGAAAAGTTTGGTTAATGGACCTTTAACCTTATAACTAAAATTTTGATCTAGACAAAATTTCATCACAGCTTGAAAGAGCATCCCAAAATTAGTAATATTCCGAAGTTTCGTTGCGAACTGTTGTAAAATGCGGATAATATAGCCCTGCGAAGTTTGCAATTTTCAGTCATTTTAGATTACAAATGGGAAATTGATACCCATGCAAATTGGGTGTTTAGGTATCAATTTCCCGTTTGTAATCTAAAATGACTGAAAATTGCAAACTTCGCAAAGGCTATATTATCCGCAAAATTGAGAAAACTTTAAAATTTTACCGTAAGCATGTGTCCGCAGTTCCCAAGAGTCTTTGTTTGTCACTGTGTAATCCAGAACGAAAATTAGGTTATTTTGATAACTTTTCCCTTTAAATGCAGCTTTCAATACTTAAAAAAACAGCCATTGACTCTCGCGCCCTTCGCTGCTTATTGCTACTAGTAGGCTATCACTAATAGCCTAGCTACTATATAGTAGCGTAGCCAATCAGAACGCACGATACATGATAGCCTATAGGTTTATACTAATTAGCGATATACTGTAACATGTTCTATATGTGTATTTTGGCGAAACACGTTCCAAGAAGCGCGTTAGAACAAGGATTTCATTGTATTTCACTGTACAATATACTAAGCTATAATTATAGTAGTAGAGAATATGCTATCCGGTTTCAAAAAGCGAACATATACTTGTTGTTCGGATGCAATTGACTTGTAATAATTGTTATACCAGTATATTCAGTTAATAGGCGGCTTCGCTGAGCCATGGAAACTATATTCCACTTTATTTTCTAATGGCTCACGTTTTATACAGATTTACATGCAGGATGCATAAGAAACATAATTCGAATAACATATTATCATGTCTTAGATACGTATACAGATTTACTTTTCCCATACTAATAAAGATTAGGCTTTCTGCTGTCAAATAACACATTCATTGCGACCAAAAAAGGCCAAATATGACCCGATTTTAAAGTCCCTATTCAAAACTGAATTTTTCCACTTATATGTCTGAAATTGCATGATTAATTAAAGATAGCGGAACGTATGGGTTAATTATCAAGTCTTGGTAAATTTAAAGACGATTCAACTGGCGATTTAATCAAGAACGAAATTTAGTGATTAAAACTTTTTCCCATATTGGACGTTTGCAGACAGAACCCGCGATGCCAAACCTACCTCAAATTTTCGGGAAAATGTTAAAAAATTGGAAGAGAATTTCCAAATCAGTTCCCAAACGTGAAAAAATGCGATTTCGACCCGCCACTTTTCATCGCATCGTATTTGGCCAATTTTTATCGAAATGGTATAAAAGAGATGTTGTTTGAAAGTTAAAACTAAAGGCCTGGGGCTAAGATTGTACGAAGGCAGGATAGCGCTTTCCGACCGATTCAGGCAGGGGCGAAGACAGCCCAAAACGAGTGGAGAGGAGTCCACGTTGTATACACAGAAAAACTAGAGGATCTGGTTGTCCATGGGCATATTCCCCTGGAAAATTTCTCTATTTTTAGGTTCATGCATTTTATAGACACGCTTTGTGATAATCTGAAACGCACGGATTTGGTATATTTTTTCTCATGGATAAAAGCATTACGAGGTTACGCCTCCCAGTTTCGCCTTAGTTTTGGAAGATTTACATATTAAATTGGCCTGTAGAGTATTGGTGGACGAGAGAGGGGGGAGTCAAGAACACCCTCCATTCCCCCGTGACTACGCTCCTGATCAGATTCAGAGTCATTTTTCGAACCCTTCTACAATTTCTTGAAAAGTACGTTGAAGAAACTACGGATATGGACATCACCATAATCCGAAAGAAACGTAAATTTATAAATACTTATGTTTGATGTGGTATTTCTATAGACTTAATATCATTCTAACGCGCGATAACATGTGAGAATCGTCGAGAATCTTTTTTATACACTTGCATGTATAAGCAAAACGCCCGCAGCAACTCTTGTCAGAGCAGACTACGCACACTACATTTAGTTTGGGCACAGATTATATAAAGGACATTTTTAACTTTACTTTTCTCATCTGTGGTTACTTTCACTTTCAGGGAACGTTGGACAGGAATACATCTTCTATTCCAACGCAACACACATTTCATACGTTTCTGTTGATGGCGGAGAATCTACAGCTATCCTATCAGCACAAAGTGCTACCCTAGGTTACGATGAACAAAACTATCGCCTCTGGTATTATGATACAGTGGGAGTCACTCTCCACAACGCTAATTTGGACGGTAGCGATTTGCGTACTCTGTCGGTTCTATCAAATTTTGGTCCATTTACAGTTGATGCAGTGAATCAAAGTATATACTACCTAAACAACGACGATAATAGCGTCAAATCAATTGATTATAACGGTAATCTCTTTCCAGAAATTGCCGCCTTACAGAGTGGCAGTGATTTTAAGGACTTACAAATTGACGCCTATAACAGGTACTGTGGTATAGGCCACAATATATTATAACATATAGCTATATACTGTAAGTATAGATTATAGTATGGTTTCGACAGAAACGTCGGAGAAACGTATGCACTGATTTGTAGTCTTTGAAAAACTCACGAGTGTTGTTTCTCCAAATCATATTTAGGGCAAGTGGCACTCAGTACATTTTAATTACCTTTCACGTAGATCGTTATTCCTCACCACCGATAGAATGAACTCTCGAAACCTTATCCGGTACAGTCTGCCTGAAGACGCTGAACTAACGATCGACGATAACATAACTGGAATAGGAACACATCTTGCTGTTGATACCTCGAACAAAATTGTATATTGGATTCATTTTACGGATGACACGGATTATAAAATATACAAAACTACATATGATGGTCAAACATCACAGATAGGACCTGAACAAACAGGAAGTCTTACCACTGTTGATATTGGAGAGGGGAATGGATTCTTCTATATTCTTGATTCTGGAACGTCAGAAGTCAGAAAATATAACAAAACAACGGATACAGTAGACAGCACGATTTCACTTTCACCTGGGGCAGCACGAATGATTGTTGTAGCTGGTACGTAATAAATGAAGTAGGCTACAGGTGTAATCATGTTCCCCGGAAATGCAATAACCGCGTTCCGCATTCAATCTGAAGGATTGGATTGATTTAATGGCCATGGACCAATATTATGGCTGTTTAATTAAAAAAGGGGTAATTAAACCTATTGATACTTAATACAACTGAAACATGATCTTGAGGGTCCTTCCATACATGATCACGATTATGATCTCGATGATGATCTCGATGGTCATTTGCCGCGAACCACACTATATTTAAAAGTCTATAATGTTGACTCTTCGATCTACACCAATTATCAATATTAACAATCCATGCAGGGAGTGCCAAAATTCATCTCTTAGATTGAACTTCGATGCATACAGCTTTCGCATTTTTTTCGCACACCCACAGTGTGTATATATATACATCGCTATTGCACACTCAGCAATACGGGTCGAACATAATTTAAGTTAGCTATGAACGAAGATGATAGGAATAAAACTATGCTTGTCTCATTTGATGTTTGACTCTTCCAAATTGATGCACGAAGACTGTTACCCTTCTTTTTTTTCTCGTAGAGGTGTAGTCATGAGGGAGGCATGGGGGGTGGACCCCTCCCCCAGGTCGTCCAGGACTGCCAGATGATTAGACCTGCCCCTCGTTTGGGGTTGGCCATGCCCCTGCTTTCTCTGACAAAGCGAGATTTTCGCTTGGATTTAGACAATATGTTGAAACACGATGTTCACTTCAATTTCATGTTCTCGTCCGCATATTGAACCAAGATCCCAGATGGTGGACTGCTCCCTGTTCTTGGCCTAAATGTTTCTAAAATTAAGGTCTTCATAATTATGTCATTTTAAAAGTCTTTTTAAATACGACAAACTCATCTGGTGCTGTCATTTCCCTATAATTTGTATCATTACCCCCTAAATTTTTATACCTTGGTTTTTCACAAACGGATTGGGTATGAAACTGCATCACTTCTGCTATTTCGAATGTTTCTTTTAATTTTGTTGATTTTTATATAATTAAACATCATTGTAAACTCTTTTGTTTTCTAGACAAGGACAGCTGTGCGGTCAACAATACTTGTCCAGCAAACTCGACATGCACAAACATTCCTGGTACTATCGTTTGTTCATGTAATACTGGATTCACTGGCAATCAGACATTTTGCCAAGGTACACATATATTTTTTCGTAATGCTAATGCAATTGCCATGTTAGCAGGCCAAAGAATGTGTTTTATCCTATTATTTGTTTTCGTCATTGGACCTGTCGCGGGAACAAATTAAAAATCAGTCTCTGTAACTTGTCCCATCGTATGACCGAATCTTTAACATTAAGACCTGTTTACACTTTTTACTACAATTTTTGCTGCGATTTTAGGTGCGATTTTCTTCTTCTGATATATGGAACGAGTGGATGAGATAGGAATGTTTAGACTAGAGAACATATACTCAGAGCATACTTTAACAGTTTACCTATTTACTAGTTCACAGCCATGAGAAGAGGAAAATCGAACCAAAAATCGCAGCAAAAATTGCAAGTGTAAACGGGCCATTAAATGCAGATTTTATTCAGAATATAATAATTATAAACACCATCAATGTTCTTTAGTCTTTACAACGAAAGTCACAATTTGTAAAACTTTCTTATTGATCTTCTCTTTGAGAAGTAGATTCTTTCAATTATATATAATATATTCAATTCCCCATTTGAAGGTTTAAAATAAAAAAGCTAATAATGTATAATGGGACGTATAAGATGCCTTCAAGGCTTATAAGTACACTTTGCGCTTCATCCAAGAAAGCATTGGGCATTCCTGTTTGAATTCTACTCGCATAATTCAGTAATATTGACATTTGATTTATATTATCTTTTACTCTGCAGACATCAATGAATGTACGGAAAGTCCATGTGGTTTCAATTCAAACTGTACAAATATCATTGGTTCATTCCTTTGTGAATGTCAAACTGGGTTTGAAGGAAACGTTACAAATTGTACAGGTAACTTGTAGTTTTATTTTTTTTACCTATCAGTAGCCAAAAGCCATCGCGGGAGCATCTTTTGTATTAGCAGCGCCTTGGTATCAGCTAGTCCAGTTAGGCAAAAAGAGTGGAATGAGTCTGGGACAGGGCATCCAGGGGCGTAGCCAGCCTCAGACGAGTGGGAGTCTAATTGTCTGTCCGGTAGCATAATTCTCCAGAACACATTCTTATTTTTAGGTCTGAGAAACGCTATTTCATGCATTCTAGACATATTTCATGATATATTTGATATATTATATTTCATGCTGTAGATAAAAATTAAGAGATTAAGCCCCTCCAGTATCTCCCTAGTTTTGAAAGAGTATTTAAATTTGGTCCTGAAATAAAATGTGCGCCTGTGTGTGTGGGGAGTGTGGGAGGGGGCGGAGGAGACCCTCCCGTGGCTACGTCTCCGGGCTTTAATTCATCAGTTTTCAATACACGCGTCAGACATATTAACTAATTAGCCTCATCACTTTGTAAAAATCCACATATCAACTGCTTTGAGGTTATATAAAAATATTAAAAACACGTGCACAGGGCCGCCAAGAGGGGGCAAAGGGGGCAATTCGCCCCGGGGCGCATGCTTAAGAGGGCCCCAAAAGGGAACTTTAGGGAGTGGAAGTGGTCCTCAAAAACTCCCTAGAGGTTATTTTGCCCAGGGTCCCAAAAATCTCTGGGCGGTCCTGCACATGCAGGTAAAGTCTTTGAGAGTCATCTCATGTGACCAAAATAATCACAATGACCACGCGAATTATCTGGCGTTAGCTAGAATAAAATATCATGAACGTTGGGCTTGATATGTGAATATCCCCAGAAGAATCAATACAGTATTCTAGAAAACTTTCAAAATAACTACAATTACCATATATCACCATCAAGGTACATATTTATTATTTCTTAGATATCAACGAGTGCCAAACTGATCCTTGTGATGTTAATGCAGCTTGTACGAATACCAACGGTTCTTATTCATGCAATTGTAACGCGGGTTATGAAGGCAACGGAACCAGCTGCACAGGTACACCCTTCAGACTAAGGGAAGTTTTCATTTGTGTTCAGTTGAACTTACTTATAGTGGAATAAATTATTCACATGACTGACAGCTTTGATCCCATCTAATACACTGCATGTGGACAACACTACGTAATCATCATGCATTTGAAATTTATCCCACTAAAAATTTTATCCCACCTAGCTGGGCTGACTCGTCTCTCAAATCAATACACGATTATATTTATACGACCATATTACATATACTGGTTAGCTGGCTTATATTTAGACAGGCCCCATAGAAATAACAGAGGTAGAATGCGTATACTCTTATCTTTTCTCAGTAAAAAAATTGTCTCAACAAAATGGCGGATTTATAAGGGAATTCTGGTTGGTCCCAGTCTCCTGATGCCAGAAATTTCGCGCGGTTGCAGGGAGTGGGAATTGTTTTTTTTTAATTTAAAAGTTTACAAAATAATCTTGTGTTGAGACTTAAAGCGGAAAAAAGTTTTGTAGGGGAGGAAAACGCATTCCAGTGGGCTTTTTACGAAAAGCAATAGTTCAGAACAGAATATATACATTTTCAACGTTGTTGTGCAAGCCAAAACAAAGCACGATCAAGATCAAGACAAACTCAGACTCAACTGGTATGTTCTACAAATATTCCAACTCTTTTATAATATAAATGGAGTTCAATAATCTTTTTAAACTTACACAATTACTTTGCATATTTTTCTACGTTACTTAAGCTTGAGGCAACGCTTTTGAACCATATGCATAGCCAAGATATAGTTTTCGACGATTATTTAGACGATTTACAGCTTATCAACAAATAAATATGCTCGTTTCAAGAACATGAAAACACTTTGTTTACATTGAAGAAAAACGAAACCCGACGAAGAAAGAACTTTATAATTATATCATTTTCTACTTTTATGACATATTAGCAAAACAGTGACAATAGTAACGTTCTGAGCATGCAAAAATGTTTTATGAGTAAATTATATTAACGCGAAACTACTTTCTTTGTTTTTACAAAAACGATTTTTTAACTGCACATTTGCTTTGTGCCTTCAGAGAAATTAATATTTAATATCCCCAAACTACAAATTAGACAACAAGACAAAACTTTTTCACGATGAAAACGTAGTTTTAGCTTTGTTTCTACTTTGTAGCTAGTTTGCACCCCTAGTCAAATTCAGCATGGCTGATTTATAAGGGGCATGAATGAGAAAAAGTGGAGACCACTGAGCTATAATATTACAGTGATGGAGACATGATTTGTCATCAAGTACGCATTTAGCCTGCGTAGCAGTCGCTTCAAGGCCGTTTTCCACTTCAAACGTAATGTACCGACACGTAGCAAAACAAATTTTACGTTTCAAAATTTAGTGAATGTTGATTGGTTAATTGTTCCGTAGTACGCTACAGTGGCGTAGCCAGAACGATAATTGAGGGGGGGGGGGCATATTTATTCGTGTTCTGCTTTATTAATTTCTTTTGAAATCAATTGTTTTTGTGAATGAAATGGTATGTGAACACGAATATATGAATATGCCCCCCCCCCAATTATCGTTCTGGCTACGCCCTGGTACGCTAAAAAGTTGACTTGCGCCGAACTTTTTATTTTGATACGCGAATCAACCGGAAGTACGTAAATTTGAAAACTCATCTTCAAGTTGCGCATGACCGGTACGTTATGTTAAAATACGGGCGAAGTGGAAAACGGCCTTTATTTTATTGAAGGTTTTGAGGATTTTTGAATAAATGGCGGGTTACCCATTCTATAGACAGATTTAGATCGAGGACGCGGACGTCAAAGACGACGTGAAAATGGCGTCACAATGGCGTGGCATATCCATACATGGGCACAACACGTCATTTTCACGTCGTTTTTGACGTCCGCGTCCTCGATCTAAATCTGTCTTATATCTATTATTTCCATGACAGGCCGTAATATTAGGGAGTTTAAGCTTCGCGTTTCCGGGAACGACAAGCGGCAGGTTCGAATTTTCTTGGCAAAATTTTCGTTGAATGTTTTCGTTTCATATTTTCTTTCTTGCGTTGAAAGAATAATTATGTATCTCAGTTTTAAAACAGCAAGTTCATTTACTCGTTATTGCCTGATACCGTAAAATTTTTCTTTGCCTGGCGTTTGTCGTTTGACGTATAACGCGAAGTTTAAACTCTCTATTGTTAACATTACGTGACGTTTATACATGTACCGCATGTGAACATAGTCTATCAAGATATGATGGTCTGGAAGCCCGGCAAACATCAAAGCTACAAAATAGAAGACCTCGTTTGTTTCATGTTGAACTGTACCTTTTGTCAACTTCATTAATTTAAATAATAAATTCATTGTGATGGTTGCACGTTTCACATCCCTCCCTATTGCATGAACGATTACGTACTGTTTAATAAACGAGCAGGAGTGTTTTATCAGGTTTAAAGCCACGAGCGCGCATTTAGACCTAATAAAACTCGACTTGCTAGTTTATTTGCGACTTGCGAGTTTAAACGGCTTCAAACACGACTACCCACCGGGCACACGACGTTGTTTCAACGTTCAAATTTGGTAGAAAAAGGGTTGCGACGTCGACAACCTAATATCCACGTTGCTCTGACGTTGTTTTACAAACATTGATTCAACAGCAGCCAACAGACGTTGAATTAACGTTCATTCATGGTTAAATGTACGACGTCGATTTGTGAACCAATCTCAACGTTGTTTTAACGTGGATTCAACGTTGAATTATGGTTGACGAGATTGGCAACCTAATTTCAACGTTGTTTCAACGTCGAAACAGTAACGTCGATCCAATTTGCATAGTCAACCCTTTTTCAACGTCTATCCAACGTCCGGAAGGTAATTTCCAACGTTGATTCAACGTTGGATAAACGTCATTTTGCCCGCTGGGTACAAAGTCAATAGATATACTGCCTTATTAGTATTCTTTATATAAAGAATACTAATGAGGATACGACTACAATGGATACTGCCTTATTAGTATTCTTTATATAAAGAATACTAATTAGGAGTGTTTTGTCAGGTTTAAAGCCACTGCACGTGACATATTATGGTTGACATGATTTGCCAATAAGCTTACGAATTATTAATGATGTTTGAATTCATTATATTATACGATCGCGAAAATATAATGAGCTCAATTACCGACTCAATTACAATGACTTCTGCTTATAGTTTGGAGACCATGCGTGTAAAAAATTAACCAGTTGAATATTTTTTAACCTAAGGAAAGTTGCACTGCCTGCATGACTACATATGTCTCAAATGAAATTTACATGTTAGCTAGCGTGCACATGAATTAAGGACAATTACTGCCATAGTCAGCAGTCTGGCTTCCAAGTGTCACAAAGCATCTGAGATGTAATTTCACACCTTTCTCAAAGTGACTTGTTTTTTGGTCGTCTCTTCATCATTAGGTTCACCACCACCATGCTTTGTTGGTTTCATTCGAAGCAATGCTACTTTCTCTTCGTTTCTTTCGTTCTTCCTCTTTTGTTCTTCCTCCATAAGATTGTCAAACGCATGGTCCCGTCATAATCACAGATAACTAGAAATACATGCATGCAGTAACACCTCGCCAATATTTTCCAAACATTAAATTAACATGAAGTATTCAGAAATGGCCAACACTGAACACAGGCTCGCGCTCAAATGTTGCCATGACAACACGATATTCTTAAATATTTAATCTTTTCATATTTTTTGTACAAAACTGCAAAATAGTTGAAAGATTCGTACTTTTACTTTATTCGTACTTTAATGCAATATTGCATTTTGTGAGCTTTGATTTAATGTAAAATTTAACTTGAAACGCTTCGTAAAATGTTTTGAAATGTTCATTCAACTAAACTACATTTGCCGATAAACTGTTTTTACTTAATAAAACATAATAAGTTTAATACAAATAAAACAAATTGTTAGGTAATTTCAGTTCAGTCTTCAAATCAATTTGTTCTCCTTTACATTTTTATTAAGATTGTTTCTCAAATTAAACGGTAATTTATGAAACTTAGAGCTTAGTTGAAAAGGAAAACAGTTCGTGTTTTTAGGAAAAAATTTAAAGCAACAAAATTCGTAAACATTAAATATTCAAAGCAAACTTGCCGTATATTTCACGATTTCCCATAGTAAATCAATTCTTCTCATTTCTTCAAACAAAATTGCTTCAAGCTTGTTGTATATGAAACGATTTTCCAAATATATGTCTTTTAAAACTGAAATCTTGCTTATCCAACTCCTACAAGCAATCAGCCATATTTTTGAGATCAGTGAGGATGACCACCCACTCAAGATCGTTGGTCACGCCCGCGATCATTGATGAACTTTAGACTTCGCTAATGCTTTCGTTTCCCCGGGTGTAAATATCCGGGGGGAATTAGTACGGCCCCAGGAGCGGATCTAGGATTTTTCGCACGTTAGTCAAAATTTTATGACGTCATCGATGACGCAAAACGTGATGACGTCATTTGACATGACGTCATTTGATGTCAGGATGATAGTCCAATTTTTGTGGAAGTATAGATATTTTGTTTTATCAAACTACAAATGCGTAAATGACATAATTTTCGTACCTGCCAATGTTCAGCATATGATATATTAAAATATAGACTGTTTCGCCCTACAGTGTATACCTTGGCTCATCAGCATGCCTAGGAAACACGTTTATCAAAAATAGTAAACCATGATCCAACAAGGCAACAAGGACAGCTCCTTCAAAAAGCTGAACACAAGCACAGGTTTCTGGCTCCTTAAAACCAGATTGCTTGCCTTCACACCTTTTGCAAGAGCAAAAGGAGTTTGGCTAGAACTTAGAAATGGGTGATAATAAAATTAACAATGAACACCACCTAAAATGAGCAATCTGGTTTTAAGGTGCCATAAACCCACCTCACACCTTTCACCGCAGCAAAAGGAGCTTGGTTACAAATGGGTGACAATACGGGACATTTCATGGATTTGTAAATTGCCTTGTTTTTCCCTTTAGCCCCTTCCCCAGT